AGAATTTGTTGGAAACATTATATAGGCCTGTTACATATTCATTAAAAATATTAAATAGATTTGGATGAGTGTTTAGTAGTTTGATGACGTTGTACCCTTCGACAGATCGTAAACAGTTGCGAGATGGCATTTATTCTTTAAATAAAAATTGAAACTTGATTTTAGTGATACAAAGATTTCTTATTAATATATTTTTGACATCAGTGATTCATTATTCTTGTTTTAATCTGTAATATTTCTCGATACTTTTGTCTAGCTATAACGTCGAGTAACCTAGTGAAATAAGTAGAGAATTATCACTAAGTTCCAATAGTTACTACTATAGAGACTTGAGAAGGGTTAAAATACCCTTTTATTCACACAAATAATAATGGATGGCCCCTTTTCGGGCTTACAAGAAAGCCTCCACTTGGGCTTTTAAATCAGGGTAAGAAAACGAGAAACTAATCTAATACTAAACTAAATAGACTGAGGCTAGACACAAGTACCTAATGTAATTGGCCCTTAAATTAACTTAGCCGGCGATTATTAACAGGCACAATGCGGCGGTAGCGCAATAGATGTAGAGTGCGTAATAGATTCAAGCACAAAGTAGCCAAAAGGCAAACACGCGCCAGGACTCCTAAAGACTCTTTTTCGAATTAAGTTCGGCTTCCTTTAAATACTTCTTCTAACTCATTTGCATTCAACGCAATTCTAAAAACTCATTCTGGCAGAGTTGTAAGTGGGGAAACAGGAACTGAAAGGAAAGGATTTCAAAATTAAAAATAACTGTTATAAAATTAAAGAACATCTTACAAATTTTTCCGTTTATGGGAAAGCAGAGCAGTCATAAATAAAAGTTTTCTTTAAATTCTCAAAGCAAAGTTTTTCGGTCCGTTTTTCTTCTGCGATATTAAGTCGATCCTTTTTATAACACTGATTCATAGTGATGGGCAACTTCGGTGCTTTCTTGTACCCTGTACGACAGTAACGGGTACAGACAAGTACCCGGTACAAAATACCCGTTACTCAAGTAACCGTTACTTTGAAAAGTACCGAAAACCGATTTCAAGTACCGAGTACCCAAGTAACGATTTGGAGTACCGAAGTAACGAAATACCGGAGTAACGGTTTGCTGTACCGGAGTACCCTAGTAACGATTTGGAGTACCGAAGTACCTTAGTAACGATTTGGAGTACCAAAGTACCCTAGTAACGATTTGGAGTACCGAAATACGCAGCTAACGATTTTGCGCACTGAAGGAACTCTGCCACGTCACCACGTGTTTGATTTTATCTGTACGGAGTAAGATTGTGAATATCAGAAAACATGTCAACTACGGAAGTGTCTGAGGAGCAGGCCATTCATGGCCACAAGAAGCGCATATCACCATTTCGCAAATACAACCAGATACTACTGTCCTCGTACCAAAACCGAAGTGAGCTGAACCCTCATCGATCCTCCAGTAACGAATACCGAAATACCGAGAACAGACGCAAATTTTCGTTACAAAGTAGCGAATACCCAAAAGCACCTGTTTCGGTACAGAAGTAACGAATACCGAAAAGTACCCGTTTCGGTACAGAAGTAACGAATACCGAAAAGTGCCCGTTTCGGTACAGAAGTAACGAATACCGAAAAGTACCCGTTTCGGTACTGAAGTAACGGGTACTTGGATGTACCGATTTTCAGTACCCGTTACAAAATACCCGGTTCGGTAGTACCGACTCATCTCTACTGATTCAACGTTCATCAAATGTGATATAGTATTTTACCCATTTATTCCCGGTTTAAAAATTTTGATAAAAAATGATGCAACTTCTCTGCTTTCAAGCTCCAAGCCTAAGCAGAAACCAAGAGCAAGGCTTTATGCATTTTAATTTGCACACGACTTTGTTTATTATTATTTTTGTTATTATTGATCCAGAGATATTTCAGAACATATAAACTGTTTTATTTTTTTTCCACAAATCCTTCTAAAAACGGGTAAATAAGTTGTCAGATTTCACAGCCGTGAGTAATTTCATATACAGAAGAACAACATTTACGATTATGACAAAATATTAAAAGGCTTATGAGGCCCTTCTAAAAACGCTAATGCTTCCAAAATAACTTCAATAAAAATCAAACCGTAATTGTGTTTTAGTTACATAAATAATGAAATTTATTTAGTTATAGAAAATATAATTAGTTCTGTGCCTTTCTTTAAGAACTTCTAGTTCTTATTTTTTCTTGACATCACGAAAGCTGTTGTGTAATTCTCCTTTCAGAGAAGGTAATGATTTTGTAGAAACCGTTAGAAGTTTCAGACAGGGAACGAGATAACTTAACAGAGCACTTGCCGAGATTTGAAGGGAACCCCGGATCTTCAGCTTACTGGCTAGATTTTCTAACCATTTTGCCAACAACAGTAGAGCATGCAAGGAGAGCACGTCTGTGTTTAAATGCCGAAATTAAGTCCGAATCGACTAAATCCTGGTAGTGACGAATTATATCGGCCATAATATAGTTTGTGTGTCATTGCAGAGACCGTTAGACGTTTCGGACTACGAAGCATAAGATTTCAACTATGCACTCGCCAGGATATAAACTAAGAATTGTCAGTTTAACGTAGTAACCACTTACACCACTGCAGTACGCACGAGGAAATACAATAGTTTTTTTTTATCCTTCTAAGAAAAGTAATTGTAAGAAATATTCAAAAACGCAGACTGCATATTCTAAGGATAATGCAGTGAAAAATTCTTCATGACTAATAATAATAATAATTAATGATAATTATTACGAAAATATATACCCAAGCCATGCAGGTACGAAAGAGAAAATATTGCGAGTTTATTACAATATCGTAAAAAATTTTGATAAAATCTTCAGGCATTCGGTCCTACTAAAATAATTATCTTTTCAATAACTACTAATTTCTTATCACTTTACTCTAATCTTGGCAAGTAAATAATTTTTGAATTCAATTTTCTCCATTTAAGACAGTGGATCATCACAAATAGGGCAGACAGTAAGACGTTCACATTAAAAAAATCCTTTCTTAAGAGTTACAAGGTATTTCTCCCACTTCCCTAGCGTGCCTTCGTGGTGTAACGGTAGCACGCTGGGCCGGTATTGCAGAGGTCCATGGTTCAATTCCCGGCGAAGGTGGTTGCATATTTTTCATCTTTTCTGCTTCCAATTAACCTAATGATTCTACAAGTGGCGCCCGAGCTAAAAGAGTTGTGGATGATGATTCTCCGCTCCCAGGATTTGGCGACTAGGTCCCCTAAAACCCTAGTCGCCCTTTAAAAAGGGGATTATATAAGGTATTTGTCCCACTTCCCTAGCGTGCCTTCGTGGTGCAACGGTAGCATGCTGGGCCGGTATTCCAGAGGTCCGTGGTTCGATTCCCGGCGAAGGCGGTTGCATATTTCATCTTTTCTGCTTCCAATTAACCTAATGACTCTACAGAGTGATTACATTTTGTGAGGGAATAAAATGTTTTATGTCCTGTTTTCCTCTCAAGATGACGTCAACTTTGATGCCCTACAATTATTTTACTTATATTAATTCTACTGAAATAGTGTATGTGTGTGTGTGTGTGTGGGGGGGTATTATTGTTAACAACATTAAATCAAAAGGGAGCCACATCAGTTTTTTTTCAGGTAATGTAAATATATACTTTACTTTCATTTATGCTAAATATGACTTTACTTGAATTTTCAAACTAAACTAAAAAAGGTATCGTTTATTTATAAATTAGTTTATTTCTGTAAGCGAACAGGAGCCACGCTTCCCTCAACTTGAGTCAAAGTCTGGTGAGTAAGGGCAGTTAATGACAAGATAAATGAAGGTAAGTTCTGTAAAAATGAAACATCATAATATACTGTTAGTTTATGTATGCTTATTTCCTATGTTAAAAAATTATTAAAATATTACTGTTTATATTACTATCATCTATGTATATTTAAATATAAAAAGAGAAACATACAGAGGCATTTAAAACTACATTTATTTATATAGCTAATTATTTAAAATTTTAAAATCTTGGATTTATTTAAAAAGCTAAACTGCTTATATGGTAAGAATCTTGAAAAACACCGATTAATAGAAGAGGAATTGTAGAAATAATGTCTTTAAGATAACAAATTTTGAATGAAAACTGATATAGAAATATTGTTTTAGTAACTAATAATTTTTTAAAAGCAGCTAAAAATAGAACAGATAAAGGTGTTAAATTTATAACGATTCTATTAAAAAAAAGGTCAAGCATAAAGAATGCAGTATAAGAGGATTTGGAATGAAAATATTTTACTGCTGTTTTTTTAAATCTTAAATATTTATTTGTAGTCGCATAATACTATTAAATATATCTCTAAGAAAAAATACTTTTTATCATTATTAAAATGACCAAAATTATATTATAACTATTAGAAATAAATTTATGAAATAAGTTACATAACCTTTGAATTTTGTAAGTAATCATTCTTATATTCCGTCACTTATCATCAGATATCTACGTTTCTGGTTAAACTTCCCCGTGGGGAAGATAAAAAAACTTCATGGCAAATGAATCGATAAAAAATGTATTTATACGCCATTTTGTAATTAAAGAAGCTGAAAAGTAATATAAATTGCTAATTTCAAATTAAACTATTTTTGGTATTATAATGGGAAGGAAGGTACTAAAATTGCAAAAAAGAATTATCTGCCTTGTTTGAAGTATATAGAAAAAAATAATATTTTATTAAATAACTCTGAACCATTTTCTTTTTAACTTAGAATCTCCCATACGCAGAAAAGTAAAAAGCAAAATAAAAATCTTCAAAGTAAAGTGACAATAATAAATTAATAAATTGATAATCAAAATTCACGTTTGTCAAGCTAAAGACAAAACTACTCTAATTAACACTAGAATCTTTTAAATTGATAATTATTTAATGCCTATAGCATGTATTTGAATTGAACATTCTGTAGCTGCTATCTGACTGCTTAGAGTTACTCATAAATCGATTTCAATCTTCCTCTTTCAGGTACGATTGCGAGCGATTGTCTAACAACATGCCTCAGATGGTTCCTTTCCACAACTTCGATGAACCCTTGGAAGGTTATTCTCCTCATCTGAGTTCCAATATCAACGGATTGCCTTATTCATCTCGTAATGCTGGTCGACGCCTGGCCGATCTTCCAGAATGCGCAGTTCATGACTTGGACAGATGGCGTGAGAGAATTTTAGACGCCATTGATCTGGGATTTGTAGTTGACCAGAATGGTGCAGAGACACCCCTAGACGAAGTGCATGGCATCGATATTCTCGGCAATCTAATTGAATCCAGCTATGACTCAATAAACGCACCATTTTATGGAAGTCTCCACAACTGGGGACATGTCCTCATGGCTGCAGCTCATGATCCTGATGGAAGATTCAAGGTCTGTTGGAATCACTTCCTCGCTATCATTTACTGACTTAAGATACCATAAAAACGGTGTATAATTATGGCCAAACAAATATTAATTCAGAAGTCAACAACGAAAATCAGCGTTATGTTTTCAAATTTTCAGTGTGTTACTGTGAAAATTTGAAAACATAACGCTGATTTTTGTTGTTTGACTTCTGAATTAATATTTACTGACTTGTTTCGATAAAGCATATTTACACCGTTTGATTGAACAATAAAAGAAAATGAAAAAGATAGTTCTATCAGGACTTGTATTCCTCTTGATTTGCTTTGGGAACATGAATGGTCCTGAATAAGAACAGGGAGCTTACTCAAGCTACGTTCAGGAAGGTGTGAAATAGACAACACAAGCAGGAAGGGTATACGAAATCCTTTATTTTTCTATCTTTACAGGTATTTCCGGAACTTCGGAATACAGAGACCAACCACTTGTGGTCTGAACGTAAGAATATAAAAAAAATACTAACTAAAACTCTAATTAAAACTAACTTTGAATTAGTATTCAAGTGCCTAGCAGTAAGATTGGCCTTTATTTTAACAAAGGTCCGTATGTAGTACGCCGAGCTGCTAAAACTACGATACGTTTGCAATTATCAAGAGGACTAACCCTCGGGCCTTGAAGGCAACCAGCAACCGAGTGAAAACTCGTAAAACTACAATGGCAAGCGGCTTGCTTCCAATAACTCCTTCCTCTCTAAGGGCCCACCAGCGGCCGAGCGGTAGAGTCGCTGAACACTGGTAGTTCGGTCTGAGGTTCGAATCCCGCGAACGGGCTGGCTGCATGAGTGTTTTCGTGGTTTTCCTCATGTGTAACGTGTATACGAGCCAGTTTCCCTTAGAAAGTCCTCCACGAAGGCATCCCTTCCCTTAGGCAGATAGCACTAGTGTGCTTTGCCATAATTAAATACACAACACCACACCTTCCTCTCTCTTGCTTGGCAAAAAGCCCCAACTTAAGTACTTGGCGTTAGCAAGACAATTTACATAAATAAGTTAAAGCTTTTAATTCTGGCCGGAAGTAGAAAATAAGAAGTGATAGTAAAGATTTAAAATAAAATAAACGTTAGTAAAACTTAGGATCCTTACAGTTCTTAAAATATCTCAAAAATAAGGAAAACCGCAATGCACGTTAAATAAGATTCGACTTAAGAATTGCATGTAGCATAAACGTAGTTGTCCGTCTCCACTTTGAATGTTAATTCGTTTTCGATTCAGCTTCATTCTAAAACTGTAGCCCACCAGCGGCCGAGCGGTAAAGTCGCTGAACACTGGTAGTTCGGTCCGAGGTTCGAATTGCGCGAACGGGCTGGCTGCATGGGCGTTTTCGTGGTTTTCCCCATGTGTAACGTGTATAAGAGCCAGTTTCCCTTAGAAAGTCCTCCACGAAGGCATCCCTCCCCTTAGGCAGATAGCCCTCGTGTGCTTTGCCATAATTAAGTACACCAACACCATTCTAAAACTGTGGTGATTACTTGTTGTGAAATTCTCTCAGAATATGAGAGCTTTCTCGAGTAATTGATGCAGTTTCAACCCTTCTTATTTGTTTTAAAAGAAAGAGAGGTTAGTTTTATCACACCATCAAAATGTTTTAATGTAATTTTTAACATGTAAAATAAATAGTCCTTATGAAAAGAAACCTCAAATATTTATACCTCAAATATTTAGCATTTCTGTTTAATTTGCTTTCATTTCACATTTACGGCAAAATTATAAGTTGATAAAAAGAAATATTTTTTCTCTTATTCAATAGCATAAATTATTATATTTTTGCAACTTTATTCTATTCTGAAAGTTTTAAACATTGACGCTGATAAAAAGTGACCAAAAAACGTTGAATTTTATAATTTGAAACATATCATAGTTGTGTAAAAGTCTAGTAAACTATTAATTTTTTTACAGCAAAAAAAATTACTGTATATTTTTTGAGATATCTAGAACCGGTTTTCCTGTAATAAAAAGCTGAAAACGAAATTCTTTGAATTAAAAAACTTAACAGCTAATTTAAATTACGAGATGACATTTTTCAGGAATTAAAAATAACTCAGTGTTATTCATCTCTAGAAAAAATTAACTAATAGTTTACATATCATTAAATATTTAGTAAATGGATTTATTTAAATCTTGTTCACTGACACAATTAATGAATAATACGACTTAATAGAGCTCTGTACATTACGTAAATTTTTCCCAACCGCTCTTTTTCATAGTAAAATAGTTCAAAATACTTAATAACTTTCGAAAAATTCTCGTGAAGAATTATAATTTACCATAGCACAAGCATTGCAGACTTGTTAAATTTAATGAGCAAGGAAGGTGATTTAATTTTTGAATAAACAACATTCGTTACATAAATTAATTCAATAAACGCATTTTTTTATAGCTGAACCCAGGAGTTATGGACGACACGGCCACCTCTCTGCGAGATCCTATCTTTTACCGCTGGCACAGATTCATTGATGACTTATTCCAGACCTACAAGAGAACTCTTCCCGTCTACAGCCATGAAGACGTAAGTCAGAATTCAAAGAAGAATTTTATTTGTTTAAATTCACAGTTGGACGATTTTTACTATTTATTATCTATCAATATTGAACAATTTTTGAATAAGTGAATAAAAAATTTTGAGACCGGTCATTTTTATTTAGGAAAACATCTTATTATCATATTAAATAATCAAGGAACAGAAATAACTTAATGCGTATGTAAGAAATCTTGCTTTGATACTTTTAAAATTGAAAAGTTCAGGGATAATGCGAATTTAAAATTTTCTGTCACTTGAATGATCCTTGGCAATGAGAGCTAATTACAGTGAGCTGTTAACCCTTTGCGGCACAGTGTGTCCGGTCTGGACACACCTAAAAATTTCCTTCTGTACGCACAGAAAAATTGAATGAAAAAGGATTTATAGGTTACTCTGAAGCTTCTTTATTTATAGTAGATGGCAGCTCAACACAAACCAGTCCATATATTTTAGCCATGTTTAGTTTTTTAAGACCCTCCTTTTTCAAAGAAATATTCCAGATTTTTTTAGGGTATAAAAGGAATTGTTTGAAAAGAAGTTTCTATGTTATTTTTTTTAGCTGTATGCTAATCTCCTTATTCTATATTAGTTTGAAATTTTTACTTTGAAATCTTGCCTTAAATTAAAAGAAGGGTGGAAGACCGTCGGAACTGTTCCCCCGGGGATCTAAACTTGGGGGTTGAACTGAGCAAAGCCCTACTTTCACCTGTATGATGCTAAAGGTTCTTGCCAGCGACAGGCGCAATCTTTCACTCCTTGCCATGATGAATTGTGACAGGCGCAATCTTTCACCCCTTGCCATGATGAATTGTGACAGGCGCAATCTTGCACTCCTTGCCATGATGAATTGCGACAGGCGCAATCTTGCACTCCTTGCCATGATGAATTGCGACAGGCGCAATCTTTCACCCCTTGCCATGATGAACTGCGACAGGCGCAATCTTGCACTCCTTGCCATGATGAATTGCGACAGGCGCAATCTTTCACCCCTTGCCATGATGAACTGCGACAGGCGCAATCTTGCACTCCTTGCCATGATAAATTGCGACAGGCGCAATCTTTCACCCCTTGCCATGATGAACTGCGACAGGCGCAATCTTGCACTCCTTGCCATGATGAATTGCGACAGGCGCAATCTTGCACTTCTTGCCCTGATGAATTGCGACAGTCGCAATCTTGCACTCCTTGCCATGATGAATTGCGACAGGCACAATCTTGCACTCCTTGCCATGATGAATTGCGACAGGCGCAATCTTGCACTCCTTGCCATGATGAATTTCGTGGGCTTGTTCTGATGTTGCTGTCAGACAAGAAAGATCAATCCCAACAACAACACACGACAGAAAAAGGTGGTATGATACGAGGCGTTTTCTATATAATTACAACGCAGTTTAAGGTATAAATCACAAGGAAATCCCCAAATTTAGCTTTCTCAGATTGATTCACTTTCCTCAGCAGAAATGAATATAAGGATTTATCAAACTCGTTTCTTCTAAGTTTTTTCCCTTCCTGTCTTCTTTATAATAGGTGGTTATTTCTGTATCATTAATCCTTAAAGTTGCTAATATCTGTTTCATATATATATATATTTAAGTACTCCCTTTGCAAATAAAGAAATATATTTTGTTACAGTTGGAGTTCCCAGGTGTAGTCGTGAAAGACCTCTGCGTCCGTGCCAAAACACCCGACGTAGTCACCACTTTCTTCAAAAAGGACGTTCTTGATGTTTCGCATGCTTTCTACTTTGGTAGAACAGGAAAAGTCAAGGTGAGTGAACCATTTCAGTGTTTTTGTAGAAAAGTATTTGAGCGGTAAGTACGACAGATTTGATCTATCTAACTGCAAGACACAAATGAGAAATGAGTATGTAATTTTTACATTTGATATATTAATAAAAAGATCACTAAATTATAGAATTAAAAAACAACTAAACTCAGTGGTACAACAGCCCTAGTGGGCCACGACCTGCAGTGCCCCGAAATCTGGTTCCTTGACTTTTGGCCTGGGGTGCATCAGCATATGTCCTGGGCAAGTGGTCAGCTTGTATCAGGATTTCCGGCGTTTAGCCCCAAGCGAACTTGGTGTTCATTTTATCGACCCATTCAAGGGATGAAAGGCTGAGTCAACCTCGCCCATCCCGGGGATCGAACCCCGGACCTGTGATGCAGCTGCACGACGCGCTAGCCGCTGCGCCACTGTGTGGTCAAATTGTAGAATTTACGTGTTTTTAAAATGCATTATATCAAAGATGCTTTCGCTTGTTTTCTTTGTCAAACTGCTCTAAAATAGCGCATTTAGTTTCAGTAATAATATCATGGAGAGTTGAAAAGTTGTTAGTTTAAAGAGATATTCTTCAGCGTAACACCTTTTGGAATCATCAAAAAGAATTAAAAGGGGAGGGGGTTACCCCTCGCTTTTAATTTACAAAATTGTATGAGAAAGTTTTAGCTTTATGTATAAACCTAAACTTTCAGTCCATTTAATCCATAATATTGCATAGAATATTTGTGGAAAGTTATCAGGTTCAATGTTCCGTCTTACTTTCTTCGGGAACATGCAAGGACCTGACTCGGAACAGAGAGCTTACTAAAGCTATGTTCAATAACTGTGGGAAGTAGACAGGATACACAAGAAGGGTATACAAAAACCCTTTATTTTCTCTATTTACAATAACTTCCGTACTTCGGAATACAAAGACCCACTACTTGTGATCTAAACGTAAAAATATAAAATAAAAACTAAAAACTCTAATTTGACTTTAAAATAATAAACGTGGAAGATTGGCCTTATATTAACAGGAAGCCGTATGTAGTACAGAGAACTGTGAACACTACAATACGTTTAAAATTATCAAGAGGATTAAAACCTCTGGCCTGGAAGGCAACCAGCAACTGAGTAAAACTTCTAAGGTAAGCGGGCTGCTTCGACTAACTGCTTCCTCTCTCTCGCTTGGCAAAAAGCCACAACTTAAATACTTGGCGTTCGCCAGACAAACTTTGCATAAATACTTTAACGCTTATAATTTTGGCCGGAGGTAGAAAATAAGAAGTGATAGTAAAGATTTAAAATAAAATAAACGTTAGTAAAACTTAAGATCCTTACAAAGTTACTATAGTAATATTTTAAGTTAAAGCTTTTTTTTGTAATAGAGAAGGTTAAAAAAATAAAGTTCTTCAAAAAAAAGTACTGTAATGCAAACACGAACAAAAGAAAATCTTGTCAAATATGAAAATTAATTTGCAAAAATAATTTTGTAGTCGAGCACTTAATAACAAACAGAAAGGTTCAAAATCATCTTTTGAACATCACCAAAATTATTCAAATGGAAAATTCTTATTTTAAAATTATTTAGAGTAGTCAGTCTACCTTTAGACATCAACTTCTGGGTTCTTTCGGTTCACGGCGTAGAAGAAGAACAGCCATGATTTGCTTCTTAGACAAAATAAAAGTAGTTTTGGGAAGCTTAATGTATACAATCTTTAAAATAAAGAAATAAAAATTTTGTTTGAAAATTGGCTAATCTTTGGAATATGGTAACAAGAAGTTTGGCGACATTTTGGTAAGGCGATAAAGGTTACTAGCTAGGACTTTAGCAGTGTACATGGATAAAGTCAAGAGTGTGCGCAATGCCATTTTTGTGCAATTCTGGGATGTTTTTTTAAGTGAAAATAGGTCGACGTGTACATGAATACCGTGTATGTGCAATTCTTAAAAACGCTGCAAGCAGTGGGCGATTCTGCACTTTCTTCCAATTTCGCACCTAATCTTCGTCATGATTAAGCATTTTTGTTCCATAAAAGTTCTAGTACATAAGCGTAATTCGGCTAGCAGATTGTTGGATTGTTGGAAAAAATGTTGAGTAAAAAAAAAAAAAAAAAAAAAACATGCCTTTATGCCTTTACTTTATGAAAACAAAACTAGCAGGCTGCTGTACAGGGTTGGTCGCCAAAGTTTCGCCAAAAATCGCCAAGTTACCATAATCCGAAGATTAACCGAAACTTTTCCTCAAAATTGACTATTCGAAACTAGTCAGATACCTTAATGCAGTTAATATATTTATTTCCAAATTAGGTCCGATATGAGCATTTGGACCACGAACCTTTCATATACAAGTTTGTAGTGGCAAACAGTGGAACGAAAACTAGGCATGCCAAAGTAAGGATCTACTTGGGACCAAAATACGATCACTTGGGCAATGAAATCAAACTTGCCGACCTCAGAAGACTTATGATTGAACTGGATTCCTTCCATGTTGAATGTAAGTACATTTTTATCTAATGTTAATGATTCAGAACCATTGAAATGAGGATTTCTATATATTTGTGCTACCTTCATAGGATTTGTTGATGAATAATAATAGATATATCTTCTTCTATTCTCTTGAGGTATTGTTTTCTCAGTCATTCATTTAGAAGGTATTTCTCCCGCCTTCTTAGCGTGCCTTCGTGGTGTGGTGATCTGCACGCTGGGAGCGTATTCCAGAGGTCCGTGGTTCGAATCCCGGCGAAGGCGTTGCTAATTTTTCATCTCTCCTGCTTCGACAATCTAATGTCTCTACAAACTCATTCATTCTTGAGATATTTCATATAACAATACAGAAACAGCCGTGAATAATATTATGTTTCAAATGTTCAGAACTTAAAGCAGATAACCAGAATAACGCTTAGTGCCCGCAGTTATCAATATGTAAAAACTGTTATTAGTATGTAATATTCAACCTTGTTACTTTGGAGTCTTCCCCGCCGTGATGGTATACAATTCCGCTTGGTTCATGTCCGTGGTCGGAAGCCATCATAGCGGTGCACTCACTCACTCACATGAACTGTCTAATTCTTTTAGAAATATTTTTTAATTTATGCAAGTCCTCCATCCCAATCTGCAGTGCAACCCAATAACTAATCACTTAGCTAATTTGCAACCTACAAATATTACTGCGTGCGTAATGTTGTTCGTAATAAATTGAATGCACACAGAACCGATGCCGATAAGAATTATTTTACCAAAAGAAACACTTTACAGTTCTGGAACTTCCCACAGAAATACTCGTACAGCTCTTTACTTTATCACAGAGCGCAAACAGAAGATGCACTTCAAACTAGTTACAGTTATGTACGTACCGGATATAGCTACCGTTACATATAGGGATCAATTATAGTTATTTAATTACAATACCAATTACAATCACAAAGGTACTGAACCAAAATGTCCTCAAGTGGTCGCCAAGTTTGGCTACTTCTGGTGATTTCATGCCAAACTTTGCGAACAAAAACAATCGGCAAAATCATCGCCAGTTTGGCGATATCTCGCCAGTTCAACGATATAGTCATTTAAGTCAATGTTAAATAGACTTCCCCTTTAATCTTACTTTTCCGGCAGAGATTTGTCTCTTTATCATTTTTGAAAACGGAAATTTGAAGCTGTCTTCACCAATTTGTTTCAAAAGATCCAGCAACATTTTGATTGATTGTGTCTGGAATAATTTTAATAGTATGGAGATAGATTTTTTTATTCGACTAAATTGGCTGAACTGTATTTTATTGGCTGAATGCTTCGCTATGGCCTATTTAAAAATTTTAGTTTGAACATTTTTTTTATTAAAAGGCACCAAGTAACCAGAATTACCACAATATGAAAGTTTAATTATTTAATTCCTTTTCTTCTGTGGCAATGCATCTGCGAGTAGTCCATCAACAGATATTTAGAAGCTCGCTCTTTTTGAAATATCTTTCAGATCTTACTTGAATAGAGAAATTTTATCGCTGAAGGTGAAAAATTTCCGTGAAAATTTAAAAATTAGATTAGACACATCACTTAGTTTTCAAAATTGCTGATTAGTGTTTCATTTGAAGTGAAGTTTTAATGTTTAATGAGAATGAATAATTACTGTATTTGCAAAGGACCAAAATTTGCAAAAAAGGAAAAATGGAATGTTCAGCCAAATTTAGATTAATTAATAGTTAAAGACAGTTTGAAAGAAAAAGGTAGAAAGGCAGAAAGTTTATTTTGTGTTGCCACAAAGCTGAAGCTAAAGGATAACGAGGAGGCTAGGAACCCTTACAGCTGTTAACCATTTTTATTCATTTTCGGTATTAGAAATCTCTACAGGAGTGTCATTTTTATAAAAAAATATTACTAGTTAGCAACCAAAATAGGATTTGTTAGTCAGCCAGCCTTTGGTGTTACTAATAATATTAACTTTAATTAATTATTTTTGAAAATATCTTGTATTGCGTCTATTTTCTTAAGCTGAAGTCTTTTTCATTCTTGTACGCAGTGAAACCAGGCTCGAACACATTCGAACGTCGCTCTATCGATTCCAGCGTCACACTGAGCAAGCAGAAGACGTTAGCTGAGTTGCTGAAAGGTGAAGGTGCTGACAGAAGAGGCGATGAATATTGCAGCTGCGGATGGCCTGACCATCTTTTGGTGCCTAAAGGAAAGAATGTTGGAATGAAATTCCATCTCTTCGCTATCCTTACCGACTATTTTGCAGATACCGTAAGTATAAATGGTTCCATTAGAACTTGAAATATCTTAATTTAATTATGATAATTTTATAATTTATCATGATCATCTTAATGTCTTCTTACTGGACATAGCAATCAGTCGCTTAGAATCCAGCATGAGTCTCGATTTAGTTTATGCTTCTCGAGAAGGTGCGATTCTAAAAATTTGTGTGGAATAACTGAATTCGATAAACATTAAAAATTAGAAACATGGCTGATAAATAGAAACACAGATGTAGTATTAATTAAGAAGTTCAGGCCTGTGATTTGTTTGTGATTTGTGCTCAGGCCTGTGATTTGTCTTAGTTTCTATTTGTGAATGTTGGTTTTCATAACTTTATTGCGATACTTAGTGAATAATTAATTATTTCATTCTTATAAAAGGCACATCTTGGTGTAAATTGCTTAAACATTTTACAGAGTGAGACTTTGGTTTGTTTTACTTAGTACACTTAATTCAATTCCTGAAGATGGTTTGTCATCCGAAATATTCGTAAATGGAAATAATTTTTCTCGTAGGAATTAATATTATATGAACGAATCCGTTCCCCAGATGTACAGTAATTGCTTAACCACTTAACTGTTTCATTTTCCTGCCATATTGTGACCAAAAATAAGCATATTTTGTATAAACAATTTTGTATTCTAATAGATTATATGAATTCGAATCAGCATTCAAAACTGTTACAAGTATTGCATTTATTAATTTCAGATGATTTTTAATTACGGCGAAATTAAAGCATTTTTATTCAAAGTTGGCTTTTCTCTGACGAAACTGCGGAACTGGCAAGAACACTTTACAAGAGATAAATGTGAAAGAAGTGAATTCGTTGTGAAAGGAAATCGTGGCGGTGGTGGAGGAGGATTACTAGTATCCATTTCACAAATGTTCCGAACCTGAGTTAGACCATTTTGAACTTTCCGTTTCCCCATCATCGCTACGGAATTCCGATAAAGAACTTTCAAAACCACCAGAATCATTTATAGAAAATTTAGATTTGCTATTTGATTTAATATCAGAATTAATACTTTTTTTTATGAGCCATTTAGTGTCACCCGTTGTTCTTTTATTTCATGACAAAATTGGAAAGAAATAACTATCCGAAAAGCCTAATACACTGAACACGTGCAAACAAACTCGTTGAATTTCTTCGCCTAATGAAAAGCAGGAAAAGTTTCCTTTGAACTGATTTTACAATCCAGTCTCTCCTGGACCACTACAGACATCTATCAGAAACACTGCAAAGTGAAAAATGGGGAAAAGGCCGGAACAATCAGTGGATTGGTGTAGGAGAATACACTGCCCGAGTGGTACACGGGCAAATTAAAAAAGTCCCTTTTCGCGTCACCCCGGACGGTTTTCGGGCAAAACAGTTAAGTGGTTAATCGAAATCGTATTTGATTAAACTACATTCAGGTTCCGTTCCTTTTCATGATTAAAAAAACATTTTTATTCATGATCACACATCATTCAAGAACTGTCCAAATGCATTTATTTTGTATCTTCAGATGCTGCAGCGCAATGTATTATCATAAAATATTTTAATGGTTACTTTTTCCTCTTCAGGTCAACGATCATGGTCGTACCAGTGAATGCATTGATGCTGTCAGTTACTGTGGTGCCAAAGACCAGCTATTCCCCGACAGACGTGCAATGGGATTCCCCTTCGACAGAGAAATCACCGCTGATGTAAAGGAGTGGCTGCTACCCAACATGTTCGATAAGATAATCAGTATCCAACACGTCTAAGACACCGCCTGTGCGATCGAAGATTGTCTCGTCAGAATGTTACAGGAAATCGCTCAACAATAAGCTTCGAACTCAAATTACACGTTGTAATCAAATACGAAATATGCACTTACGAATTAATTGAACATATGTGGGAAAAGAAAAAAGAAAACTTGTCAATAAATAGCAACATAATGGCAACAGTGAACTATACTCGCTTAGTTACTAACACCTCTCTCAACATTTGGGTACATTTTCTGAGCGGGATTTATAATTTATAACAATTATATTGTAATTAAAGAAGATGTATTAAAAATGGAGAGCTTAATTTTGGAACAATAGCAGAAACATACACACATACATCCCAACAGTTAAATTAATGTTAAAGCAAAATTAAATGTACCATATTTAGAACCAATAAAGGATTATTAATGTGCAATTGGAGGCAAATGTAATTTTTTTACAGAATAATAGCTGAATCAGGATTTCAGTATCTTCCGAAAATGGGTTTTACTATCATTTAAAAAATTTTAATAACTTAAAGAAAAGGTAGGAGAAAAAAATGATACAAATATGTAGGGGAAAAAGATATGCAGAATGGGAAGCTTATGTGACACTTATGTGGAAAAGAAACATGTGAAATAGCATAAAATGATTCTAGTATAAGTTTATTTGGTTTAATTTTATGTAACAGATTTTTTAATATGAGCAGGGGGATAAAAAGTAAGATTCCAGTGTATTTGGAACATTAACAATACATTCTTCGTTTTATGAGCAGGGGGAAAAAAGTAAGATTCCAGTGTATTTGGAACATTAACAATACATTCTTTGTTTTATGAGCAGGGGGATAAAAAGTAAGATTCCAGTGTATTTGGAACATTAACAATACATTCTTCGTTTTATGAGCAGGGGGATAAAAAGTAAGATTCCAGTGTATTTGGAACATTAACAATACATTCTTCGTTTTGTCTCTTCATGGCACCAGTTTAAAGAATTTTTTTTTTACGAAAGCTAGTCTATTAACTACTACATTGGCGACCATCTTGCACACCTTTTCCTATAAAGCAGTTCTTCCCGGATGACATTGAGGATTGTTCCTATTCCAAGCAAAGCAGCTGAATCTGAAAGAATGTCTCATATCTGCAATCATGTTTTCAAGCTAGTCCATTGACTATTTACTACATTGGCGACCATCTTGCACACTTTTTCCTGTAAGGCAGTTCTTCCCGGATGACATTGAGGATTATTCCTATTCCAAGCAAAGCAGCTGAATCTGAAAGAATGTTTCATATCTGCAATCATGTTTTCAAGCTAGTCCATTGACTAAAAAAAAAAAAAAAAAAAAATAAAAAATAAAAAAAAAAAAAAAATAAAAAAAAAAATTCTACATTGGCACCATTCTTGCTGACATGAGGAATCTTATTCCAGCAAAGAATCCTCATATCTGCAATTGTTTTCAAGCAGCCATTGACACTACATGGGACCATTGTTTTTTCCTGTATGGCAGTTCTTCCCGGATGACATTGAGGGTTGTTTCTATTCTAAGCAAAGCAGCTGAATCTGAAAGAATGTCTCATATCTGAAATCATTTTTTCAAGCTAGTCCATTAAATACTACATTGGAGACCATCTTGTACACTTTTTCCTGTAAGGCAGTTCTTCGTGGGTGACACTGAGGATTATTCCTATTCCAAGCAAAGCAGCTGAATCTGAAAGAATGTCTCATATCTGCAATCATGTTTTCAAGCTAGTCCATTGACTACTACATTGGCGACCATCTTGCACATTTTTTCCTGTAAGGCAGTTCTTCCCGGATGACATTGAGGATTGTGGAGTGTTCCTATTCCAAGCAAAGCAGCTGAATCTGAAAGAATGTCTCATATCTGAAATCATGTTTTCAAGCTAGTCCATTGACTACTACATTGGCGACCATCTTGCACATTTTTTCCTGTAAGGCAGTTCTTCCCGGATGACATTGAGGATTGTGGAGTGTTCCTATTCCAAGCAAAGCAGCTGAATATGAAAGAATGTCTCATATCTGAAATCATGTTTTCAAGCTAGTCCATTGACTACTACATTGGCGACCATCTTGCACATTTTTTCCTGTAAGGCAGTTCTTCCCGGATGACATTGAGGATTGTGGAGTGTTCCTATTCCAAGCAAAGCAGCTGAATATGAAAGAATGTCTCATATCTGCAATAATGTTTTCAAGCTTTTCAGGAAAGCAATGTGATGTAAATGTTTCAGAGTTCAAAAGACTCCAGCCACTGCGGTACCTTTTACCGGTTTCTGTATTTCTTCTAAGAATGTCTTTATACTGCTTTCTATAGAGCTGCTCAGGTTCTTTCAACTTTATATTAATATCCCAAGAATCCGAATAGAAGAAATGTGTTTAGCCCATAAAAATAACTCGGAACTTCATTGCAAGATAAAATTTCTGGTTCTAATGCCATTTTGGACAGCTGCGAGAACTTACCCCTCATTTTTAAGCCCATTTCCTAACATGAAGCTTGCTTTATCTGCATAAATCCTGCTGTGCTAGAAGAAACATTAAGCTCGAAAATAACCCTTCAGGCTTTTATCTTTGAATCTTACTTTTTATCCACCTTCTTACATAAACAGATTTAATTAAAATTCCTGAAGATTAACATATAAAATAATAATGTAATTGTATAGTTTCGCTTTTACATACAAAAAGAACATAAGGTGCAAACTTATAAAAATGTGGAAAATATCGAAAGCAAATTCAATATTTTTCATATTTTTATAATATTAATATTAAAAACTAATTGTGAAGTTTTTAATTGTTATAGTTAGTTTTTTATTTAGCAAAATGGCATCTTTTGGATTTGTCATTCTTATATTGCTACGTTAAAATGTATCAACAGAAGTTAATAAGAGGAGGATGTTAGCCATAACCAATGAAAATTCTGACTTTATTTTTAAAAAACACAATTAGCAACTGTGAATAAAATTAAGATTACTATGGAAATTAAAATATTATTCAGTGGGGAAGGCAGCCCTTTAGATAGTAATACGTTTCTGTAGTATAATCTTAATTAGACTTAGCAGATTTAAAGAGAGTTTCACATGACGAATATGATAAATATCATTTCAAACAAGCACATATACTAATCTCAGAGACTGTTTGAGCGCATGAATTTATGAAACTGTCTTCACAGTGACTCTAGGGGATGACTTTATACCAAGAAGCAAAAAACATGCAGAATTTAAAAATATTTTGACGAAAGGATCTTCGACATTTTTTCCTGTAAAACTCTATTTTTTTTTTGTAAGTGTGAAACTTTCCCACCATGCAGTGCATGTGTTTGAAGATACGCTGAAAAAAGACAGCTTGATGATTTTAATTCAAAATCAAAGGGTCAGGAACTGATGTCCAGCTGCACTGCTGGCTACATAAATGCTTAAAATGATTTAATAAAGTGATATGATATATACCACGGTGGTTTTCATTTACTCAACGAATATGTTTTCATTTACAATTAAAACACTACTTATACACTGCAGAAATTATGAATATCGGCGTTTGATTCTGTGTAGAAGCACTGTTCACTGCGCAAAAAATAAAATGAGACAGTTCTATATCTTCCGTTCGGCTGATTCAGCTTCTGTTTTTTATGTCTCGAAAGCGCGATTTAAGATATGTATTAATTAATATATAGCATTGTTCTAATATAGGTATTTTGACCCCAAATAGGACTTTTTTGGAATGACATACCAATTGTTTTTACCATATTTCGATTCTACGACTCAAATTACGCCAAACTTGTAAGATTTGTAAAAATAGCGCTAGTATTTTTAAAAAATTTAGCTCTCAAAATTTTAGCTCCTCATTGTTAGTTGAATTTGATAATATATTTATTAACGTCTCTTTCTTATTAAACTTTCTTGATTCCTTTTTCCAGAATTCGAAATTTAGGTTCCAAATAATAATTCCAAATAAAATTCGCCAATTTTTTTATTATTTATTTTTAAAATGTGCATTTTTAAACAATTTTTATAAATTTTTCGAAAACAATTTGAATTATAACCTATAAAAATTTTATCGTCATCTTAAAGTAGATGTATTTCTAAGCATACCTGCAAAAATTTAGGTTTTTGTATTCAAAATTTTCTAAGATATACGTAAATTTGCATTTTGGAGAGTTTTGAAATTTGGCGTATTTATTATAAGCGATAATAACACAAATGTGGTGCACACACTTTGATAAATTATTTGAACTTAATTAAAATTATTTGAAAATACGAACGATGACTTTTTTCCGCTCGTGGGCAATGAAAAAAAAGAAAAGGAAAACAGGTTGCTATAAATTAAGAAGTTCGCCAAGTGAATTATTCTTGACGTAAACTGAAACAAATTCGCCAAGATAAAGTTTTTAATTTCTCACCGAAAATTACAGAATTTAACATCTATGCATAATTTGAGTCGTAGAATCCAAATATGAAAAAAAAAAAAATGGTATTTTATATCAGAAAAGGTCCGAGTTTGTGTCAAAATACCTATGTTAGAACAATGGTCATATATATAAATCTAATATATATCCTAAATCGCGCTTTCGATAAATGGAAGACGCAGTTTGAATTTCGTCAATCGGCCCAGTAGTACGGGAGATACAGAAATTTCCCATTTTTTCACTTCTTTTATTACTAACAAAGCCACTTCATGATTAATCACAAACAGTGCTTCAGTCACAATCCATGATACCCAGAAGAAATATCAGATTTTTGGTGTATCATTCTAATTTTGCTATGTTAGATGGTACAGCATTAGAAATTAGATACGACTGACAAGCACATTTTATTTCCAAATCATATATCTATTGCATTGTTTATGTCCGCTATTACATTTTTTAAGCATATTACTTACCTCAATATATAGATACCTACAATACATAATACCTCAATACATAAATACAGCTCTACTCGACGAGACGGCTCCTGACCTAAGCTGTCCTGTAGGACAATGAACAGGATGATGGCATCCCACGAATACATAAATACAGTACTTAAACAGCCTTAAATTCAAAGCAAAAATATAAAACTGAAAATGTGTTTAAAGGTTTTTGCTTGATTAATTAATTTGTAGCGTCTCACCTTCTTTGTAGATTTTTGTATTTAAAATTTTCTAAGATATATGTCAATTTGCATTTTGGCGCGTTTTGAAATTTGGCGTATTTATTATAAGCGATAATAACAAAAATGTGGTGCACACACTTTGTTAAAATTATTTGAAAATACGAACGATGACTTTTTTTCCGCTCGTGGATAAAAAAAAAAAAAAAAGAAAAAAAAAAGAAAAACAGGTTGCTATAAACTAAGAAGTTCGCCAAGTGAATTATTATTCTTGGCGCAAACTGAAACAAATTCGCCAAGATAAATTTTTTAATTTCTCACCGAAATTTACAGAATTTAACATCTA